TAAGGGTGAATTAAAAAAATACAGTCATGATTTCTATAGTACGGATTCGTTTTTGTCGGATGCCTGTAGTACGGGTGCCACTGAATTCCTATGATACGGTCGAACCGGCATAAACGAATACACGTGCCATATGAGATTTGGGCTAATTAGAACCAAACACTGATTGTACGGCAACAGATAGTTAGCCACCTTTTGGGAACAGTCAGTTTCCGGTATGTCACAAGTCTGGCCCCGTGGAAGATCCGGAACATCCGTAAAAGTGGTCAATTCATGAAACTGATCTTAGAGCTGCATGGTTTTTTCGAAACCACTCATAGACATATTATCAGACTGAATTCGGAGTTGTGTTCGGAATATGGACTCTGAAGACTACGAGATGGTCCGCCGGAAGATCCGGAACATCCGTGAAAGTGGTAAATTCATGAAACTGATCCTAGAGCTCCACGGTTTTTTTTTAAACCACCGATGGACCTCCGAAAGATCCGGAACATCCGTAAAAGTGGTCAATTCATGAAACTGATCCTAGAGCTCTGCAGTTTTTTCGAAACCACTCATAGACGTCTTATCACAATGAATTCGGAGTTGTGACCGCAATATGGACTCTGGAGACTACGGGATGGACCTCCGGAAGATCCGGAACATCCGTAAAAGTGGTCAATCCATGAAACTGATCGTAGAGCTCCGCAGTTTTTTCGAAACCACTCATAGACGTCTTATCGGAATGAATTCGGAGTTATGTTCGGACTATGGACTCTTGAGACTACGAGATGGTCCGCCGGAAGATCCGGAACATCCGTGAAAGTGGTAAATTCATGAAACTGATCCTAGAGCTTCGCGTTTTTTTCGAAAGCAGTCATAGACATCTTATCACAATAATTTCTGATTTGTGACCAGAAAATGGAAACTGAGGACCATGGGATGGTCCCTTAAAAGATCCGGGAAATCCGTAAAAAATGGTCAATTCATGAAACTGATCCTAGAGTTCCGCGTTTTTTTAGAAACCACTCATAGACGTCTTATCACAATAAATTCGGAGTTGTAACCGGAAAATGGACGCTGGGGACTACGGGATGGTCCACTAAAACATCCGGGACATCCGTAAAAGTGGTCAATTCGTGAAACCCATCCTAGTAGAACTACGCGGTTTTTCTCGAAACCGCTCATAGATGTATCATCAGAATGAATTCGAAGTTGTGACCGCAATGTGGAATCTGGAGACTACGGGATGGACCTCCGGAAGATCTGGAACATCCGTAAAAGGGGTCAATTCATGAACCTGATCCTAGAGCTCTGCAGTTTTGTCGAAACCGCTCATAGACGTATCATCAGAATAAATTCGGAGTTGTGTCCGCAATTTATACTCTGGAGACTACGGGATGGGCCTCCGGAAGATCTGGAACATCCGTAAAAGTGGTCAATACATGAAATTGATCCTAGAGCTCCGCGGTTTTTTTCGAAACCACTCATAGACATCAAATCACAATAAACTCGGAGTTGTGACTATAAAATGGACGCTGGGAACCACGGGATGGTCCACTAAAAGATCCGGAACATCCGTAAACATGGTCAATTCATGAAACTGATCCTAGAGCTCCGCGGTTTTTTTTCGAAACCACTCATAGACATCTTATCAGACTGAATTCGGAGTTGTGTTCGGAATATGGACTCTGAAGACTACGAGATGGTCCGCCGGAAGATCTGGAACATCCGTAAAAGTGGTCAATCCATGAAACTGATCTTAGAGCTCTACAGTTTTTTTTTAAACCACTCATAGACGTCTTATCACAATGAATTCGGAGTTGTGACCAGAAAATGGACGCTGGGACTACGGGATGGTCCACTAAAAGATACGGAACATTCGTAAAAGTGGTCAATTCATGAAACCCCATCCTAGAACTCAGCGGTTTTGTCGAAACCACTCATAGACGTATCATCAGAATGAATTCGGAGTTGTGACCGCAATATGGACTATGGAGACTACGGGATGGACCTCCGGAAGATCTGAAACATCCGTAAAAGTGGTCAATACATGAAATTGATCTTAGAGCTCTGTGATTTTTCCGAAACCACTCATAGACATCTTATCAGACTGAATTCGGAGTTGTGTTCGAAATATGGACTCTGAAGACTACGAGATGGTCCACCGGAAGATCCGGAACATCCGTGAAAGTGGTCAATTCGTGAAACTGATCCTAGAGCTCCGCGTTTTTTTCCAAACCATTCATAGACGTCTTATCACAATAAATTCGGAGTTGTGACCAGAAAATGAACGCTGGGAACCACGGAATGGTCCACTAATAGATCCGGAACATCCGTAAAATGGTCAATTCATGAAACTGATCCTAGAGCTCCGCGATTTTTTTCGAAACCAGTCATAGACATCTCATAACAATAAATTCGGAGTTGTAACCAGAAAATGGACGCTGGGACTACGGGATGGTCCACTAAAAGATCCGGAACATCCGTAAAAGTGGTCAATTCATGAAACCCCATCCTAGAACTCAGCGGTTTTGACGAAACCACTCATAGACGTATCATCAGATTGAATTCGGAGTTGTGACCGCAATATGGACTATGGAGACTACGGGATGGACCTCCGGAAGATCTGAAACATCCGTAAAAGTGGTCAATTCATGAAACTGATGCTAGAGCTCCGTGGATTTTTCGAAAGCAGTCATAGACATCTTACCAGACTGAACTCGGAGTTATGACCAGAAAATGGACACTAATGACTACGAGATGGTCCACAGTATCCGGGACATCCGTTAAAGTGGTCAATTCGTGAAACTGATCCTAGAGTTCGGCGTTTTTTCGAAACCATTCATAGACGTCTTATCACAATAAATTCGGAGTTGTGACCAGAAAAATGAACGCTGGGAACCACGGAATGGTCCACTAATAGATCTGGAACATCCGTAAAATGGTTAATTCATGAAACTGATCCTAGAGCTCCGCGATTTTTTTCGAAACCATTCATAGACGTCTCATAACAATAAATTCGGAGTTGTGACAAGAAAATGGACACTGAGGACCACAGGATGGTCCACTAAAAGATCCGGGACAGCCGTAAAAGTGGTTGATTCATGAAACTGTCTGCAGTTTTTTCGAATCCACTCATAGTCTGCTTATCACAATGAATTCGGAGTTGTGATCCTCTAGGGACCACGGGATGGTAATCTGGAAGATCCGGAACATCCGAAAATGTGGCCAATTAATGAAACTGATCCTAGAGCTTCGCAGTTTTTTTTTACTGGAATATGGATTTTTTAGTAAACCACTTAACGTATACTACGACGCGTTTCGCTCCAAATCGTATTCGGAGATTTCAATGAAATTTTCTGGATGTGCAGACCTTGACTAAATAAGCCACTTTGCATACTTAGTTTTTCCAAAATTTATCTAGACTGTCATTTGAAAAGGGCCAAACTTTTTTTGACGATTTAAAAAAATATATAATGGAAAAATGGCAACTCCTACAAAAAAGTGTTGCATGGATGACTTTAAGGAAATTGTCCAAGTTTTCGAATAAAAATTATGAAAAAATTCCATTCCGCCTACACTGAAAAAAATCTATTTTTAAAATTTTATTACGATCCATTTTCATACAAAACTAAACCAGTGAAGGTCATAATCATCTCAGAATCCAATGAAGCTCAATTTGCGAGTCAGTTTTGTCTAATCAGCAATTAAGTTCACTTTGATTAATCAAGAATTCCATATGAAAAGGGGGGCGTTTGAAGATTGCTCAGTCTAAGGAGCTGTTCATTAACTACGTAGACGGTTTTTTAGGATTCTTGACTCCCCCCTCCACCTGCGTAGTTAATTGTCCATAGATTTTTTTAAATTTATGTGGGCCGTGGATAATTTTCACCCCCCTAAACTGTCTACGTAGTTTATGCACAGTCCCTTAGACAGAGCAATCTTCAAACGCCCTTTTAATATGGAATTCTCGATTAATCAAAGTGAACTTAGTTGCTGATTAGACAAAACTGACTCGCGAATTGAGCTTCATTGGATTCTGAGATGATTATGACCTTCACTGGTTTAGTTTTGTATGAAAATGGCACGTTATAAAATTTAAAAAATAGATATTTTTCAGTGTACTTTCTTCAATATTTAAAAAATCTTTATAGTTCACCTCAGTTTCTCCGAAGCAGTGATGGATCGCTCTTTTGGGACTTTTTCAGTACTTTTTAATATGGAATACTTACGTTAAATCCAATTGAATTTTCAGTTAACCCATCTTAAAACAGATAGTTTAGTGCTATTAATCTCCCTATCAAAATTCAAAATTACCGCACCTTAGAGCCACACTTTGTGATTTCACTGAATTTTCGAGAGCACTCTCAAGTGTACCTTCAGTGAAAACACAGAGTGTGGCTCTACGGTGCGGATATTTTGAATTTTGATAGGGGGATTAATATCTAAAATCAGCGGATGACAAGCGAGCTCAAGAAATTCTTCAAGCAACCACGATCAGAACTGAAACTGGCAGATTCGAAACCGGACTTTTGTGGAAGTTCGACAACGTCAAATTTCCCAACAGCAGGCCCATGGCAGAGCGGAGACTGAAGTGTTTAGAACGTCGTCTGCTTAAATCACCAGCATTATACGCCAATGTTAGGCAGCAAATTGTGGACTACGTATCCAAGGGGTACGCACACAAAGCAACTCCACGTGAACTAGAAGAGATGGATCCGAAGCGGACGTGGTTTTTACCCCTGGGTGTTGTAGTGAATCCCAAAAAACCCGATAAAGTCAGGGTTGTCTGGGACGCCGCAGCATCAGTAGAAGGTGTTTCCTTGAACTCCGTCCTTCTAAAAGGACCGGACCTACTAACATCTCTGCTAGCAGTTTTGTGCCGGTATCGACAGAAGGAGATCGCCATCAGCGGAGATATAATGGAAATGTTCCATCAAGTACTCATCAGACTGCAAGATCGTACAGCTCAGTGGTTCTTGTGGCGGGACAATCCATCGGATCCAGTTCAAATATACGTCATGGATGTCGCTATTTTCGGATCAACATGTTCTCCAAGTTTAACGCAATTTGTGAAGAACCTGAATGCGGAGAAATATGCTGCGGAGTTCCCGGAGGCGTCTGAGGCGATTAAGGAGAATCATTATGCGGACCATTATCTTGACAGCGTCGATACGGTCGAAGAAGCAGTTCAACTGGCATTAGACGTCAAGGAAGTCCACGAAAAGGCAGGATTCCTCATTCGGCATTGGATGTCGAACTCTCTTGAGGTGCTCCAGCGGATTGGAGAGCAGAATACGAAGTCGGTGAAGAGCTTCACCATGGACAAGGGCAGCAACCTGGAGCGAGTTTTAGGGATGGTATGGCGACCACAAGAGGACGTCTTCGTATTCTCAATGACTCTCCGAGATGATCTGAAAAGTCTACTGGATGGATCCGTTGTACCAACCAAACGCCAGCTCCTGAGCTTAGTCATGAGCATTTTTGATCCGTTAGGGATGGTCGCTCCTTTCGTGGTGCATGGGAAGACGATAGTCCAGGATGTGTGGAGATCCGGAATTGGCTGGGACAAGCCACTACCTGCGGATATCATATCACGATGGGAGCAGTATGCCAAACTACTTGGAACATTGGATATGGTGAAGATACCCAGATGCTACTTTCCAGGATACAATCCTGGAGCCTACGATTCGCTTGAATTGCACGTTTTCGTGGATGCTAGCAGCACTGCATATGCTGCCGCAGTCTACTTCCGGATTGTGGACAGTGGAGAAGTACGCTGTAGTCTGGTGTGTGCAAGAACCAAGGTAGCGCCGATCAAATTGCTGTCAGTACCACGGTTAGAAGTCTGTCATTTCGAGTCACAGTTTGCAGATCAAGCGCAAAGTATTGTGGAGTGATTCTTCAACGGTTCTGAACTGGCTACGGTCAGATCCGCGGAACTATAAGCAGTTTGTAGCGTTCCGGGTAACAGAGATCCTGAATGAAACGGAAGTCAGCGATTGGAGGAAGGTTCCAACCAGGATGAACGTTGCTGATGAAGCCACCAAATGGGGACATGGCCCATGCTTCGATGAACACAGCAGGTGGTTCAAGGGTCCACAGTTCCTGTATAAACCAGAGTGTGACTGGCCAGAGGATGCGATCGAGCCGACTACAGCGGAAGAATTAAGGGTGGTCCATGTGCACCAGCAACTATCGACGCAGTCGGTCATCGAATTCGAACGCTTCTCGAAGTGGGAAAGGTTGACCCGTACAGTGGCTACGATTTGGCTGCAAGCATATTTGTCGAGACGGATCAAAACAGGACGGAGAAGTAACCCCGAGTCGTGTGAACAGCGAGGAGTGGAAACAAGCGGAGTCAGCTGTATATAAGCTGATCCAAGCGAGCGAGTATCCGGAGGAATGCAGCATTCTTCACAAAAATTATGAAGTGCAGCCAGAAGAACGTAGACGAATCCAGAAAAGCAGTCGAGTCTTCAAATTATCCCCGTTTTTGGACTCATATGGAGTCATGAGAATGGGATCCCGCATCGCTGCCGCGGAGTGCGCGTCGTACGAAAGCAAGTTTCCCGTGATTTTGCCTAAGGATCACTACGTCACTCAACTAATGATCAACTGGTATCACAGGAAGTACGGACACGCCAATAATGAAACGGTGGTGAACGAGATTCGGCAGAAGTTTCACATTTCCGAACTGCGAACAGCCGTCAAGAAAGTGGCAAGTGGCTGCTACTGGTGCAGAGTATACAAATCCAAACCACAAGTACCACCAATGGCTCCTCTGCCTTCTGCTCGTCTCACGCCGTATGTCAGGGCCTTCACCTTTACGGGACTGGACTATTTCGGGCCGATCACTGTTCGCTTTGGACGTGGTGGAGTCAAACGGTGGGTAGCGCTCTTTACCTGCTTAGGAACTCGAGCAGTCCACTTGGAAGTCGCCTACAGTCTGTCTTCTGAATCCTGCAAGATGGCAATACGTAGATTCATCGCCCGCCGAGGTGCACCACAGGAAATTTACTCTGATCAAGGAACCAACTTCCAAGGGGCTAGCGCAGAGTTAAGGCAGCAGAACGGTGCCATAAAACGGGATCTAGCAGGGACGTTCACAAACGCAGAAACCCAATGGAAGCTAAACCCTCCGTACGCTTCACATATGGGGAGAATATGGGAAAGGCTGGTACGCTCGGTCAAGACAGGTCTAGCGCACATGGAGTTGCCGAGGAATCCGGATGAGGAGACTTTGATAACGGCTCTTGCGGAGGTGGAATCTATAGTGAACTCGCGTCCCTTAACCTATCTACCGATCGACAGCGAGGAATGCGCAGCTTTAACACCGAACCACTTTCTATTGTTGAGTTCGAGTGGCGTGGTCCAGCCAGCGGTGTGGCCAATTGAGGAGTGTGCGGTACTGCGATCAAACTGGAAGCATGTTCAGGTTATGCTAGATAGGTTTTGGATGCGATGGATTCGAGAATATCTGCCTGTTATCTCCCGACAGCCAAAATGGTTTGGAGAGGCGACACCTATCAACGTCGGAGATCTGGTCATCATTGTAAACGAGGGCGTTAGGAACAGTTGGATAAGAGGCAGAATCACTCGAGTGTATCCTGGACGTGATGGAAGAGTTCGCAGCGCGGATGTACAGACCTCTGCAGGTATTATACATCGACCGGCGACTAAGCTCGCTGTCCTAGATGTTACCAGAAAAGGAGGTACAGCTTAAGGGCACTTGAAGCAGTACAGGCGGGAGCATGTTGGCAACACAGATGAGCTCGTTCAGTACCACCCTCACAAAGGGAGGTGAAATGAGTGACGTTTAAAAGGTTTACTCCGGTAGGGCATATATAAAAGGATTGCTTCAATAGGACAGCTCAATTGTTTTATAAAGAAAACATAGAAAATAGAATAGTGGTGGAGGAAGAATTTATTATTGCTAAAGTATATATTGAATAAAATATTTGCTAGTTATCCTGGATATCGTGATTACGTGAATTTATTCATAAACACAAATTGGAACAAACACCTATTGTTACAACACGACGGATCAATTAAAGGAAAGGACAAATCAATGTAAGATAACCTAAAATTGTAAAACCTATAAACAAAAAGTAGCAATAATTAAATTTACAGCTTAAAGCTTACTCAACACAAATTACGAGTTTGCTCATAGGAATCCGAAACTGAATCCGCTCCTGTAACAACATTTTGGAAGAAGAAGCATTTTATCCGATTTTGAGTGAATAAGAGTGAATTCAATTATGGGCAAATTCATTCATTTCAGCAGCAGAATAATCCTGCTATGATACTCAAAGATAACTGAACGAGAGTAGATTCTACCACAGCAGTAAAGCGAAACAGGCGAGCAACTGAAAGAATATAGAAAACGGTCTCACCGACTGAACGATTAGAATTAAAATCAGCGAGTGGCCTGGTTTTGGCACACTAAAACATAGTACTTATCTCCATGCCACTACCAACACAACTATGCTTAAAGCAAGGATTGATTTGCTCAATCAAGCTACCTGTTATTATAATTAAAAAAAGTCACTCAGCAATTAGCCACGACATACTCACGTGTCAATTGATTCTGCGTGATCAACGAATCACATTGCTGTCGTCAATCCAAATGATTAAATTAGAAAAAAAAAACTCATGGAAAAAACGACAAATAGTGGAAATGGTTGTAATGTCGGCCTAAATTCCCCTAATTTGGGCGCATACATACATTCAGCAATCGACTAAAGTTTCGATAGCGACCAAAAATATCCATTCGTACCATTCCAATGACACGTTTATCTAGATAAAATGGATAAATAGCCATTTTTTTAGCGATGGGCCCAATCTTAGATCCATAGGCCAACATTAGAGCCATTTCCCCTACGCAAAAACATTTACTAAACCCTTACTTGAGGTTCAATTTAGTTCAATTTGCAGCAAATTCTTAGTTGCGTAGAACTTTTAGTTTGAAGGAAGTGATGAGTTATCACTGTTTTTAGTTTTGAAATATGTGCCATTATCACTTATATGTTAAATTCAGAAGCATGATTTTTTGCCTGGTAAAAATAAAATCCCGACTTTTGTCCGGGTTTCCAAGTTTTCCTGGTTGACTTGCCACCCTGCTTCTGTTATGTTTTTTTTTTCAAAGTCAACCTTGAATGTAAGTCCCATTGCCAGGAAAATATCTGTACACCATTCAAGTCCTGTAATTTTGAAATGTTCAATACGTCTGAGTGATCCCCCCAATGCCTATCATCGAAACAGTAACGAAGTCCGCTGAACCTCGAAGTCACAGCACTTCTTTTCCGAAGATCAAGTGATTTCTCAAAAATCCTGAAAATAAATCGAATCTAATCGTTTCATTTTAACGACCGTCAATCAATTGCTTAATATTTGATCGAACAAACAAACATACAATCAAGTTCATCGAAAAACACAGTTTAACGCACCAGCAATTCACCAACGTTACGAAAAGCAATCAATCTACCGAGCATTGCATCAAAATAGTCAATTTTTGCACACTTTTTCCTCAAGCCCACGCTACAACCAACAACGTCAGTGGGCGTCGTGAGTTCCCTATCACTCTCCGTCCACCACATTCTCCTGCTCGTCTCTCTCTGCTCTGCTCTGCTCTGTGCCGGAGTTCCCAAACTACATGCAAACATGGTCTCCCCCACCCCCTTCTCCGTCATTACTGCGAGAGTCACTCCGAGTCGCTCACTCACTCACTCACTCACTCACTCCCACCCCCCTAACTCACTGTTTCACACAAATGCATCGTAGAGGAAAAATAATAGTCATATCTTTATCGATTATTGACTTACCCGCTGCTCATCGCTGCCGTCGTTTGTGTGAGTGCGCCGAGCTCCAAAGCGGCGTCGTCATAAGCGCGTTCAAGTTCAAGTTCGAATCGAATGTTTCTTTCTTTCCATTCTGTGTTTGTTGTTGTTGTTGTTGTTGTTTTTCCTATCGCTGGCTGTTCGCCCATATTTTGAGAGTCAAGTTCAAGGTGTTTTTCGCTGCAGTTTGACTGAGCTGCTGCCAGTGGGTTGCTTAGGGGATCTGTGACGTACGTGTCCTGGGCCTGCTGTTTGACTTATCGAACCAGCTGCTTCGCCTGCACGGGGTTCGCTTGCTGCGATTCAAGCGAGCGCGTCTGTGGAGTTAATGGGAAAAGAACGAGAATGTTTGCTTAGTACAGAATGATATTTTTTTTTCGCGAGCTCAACGGTACGAACTCTTATATAACAGAAAACCAACTGAAGCCAACTAGTTGCAAAAGTCGTATTCCTACGGGAACTTGCCGTCGTCCGTCGTAGTCGTAAAGTCGTCGTTGACGAAGCTTTGTGTAATACTAACAACTAACAGCTCGGAACGAGGAGAAAAACAGTCGCTGCTGCTGCTGTTCGGTCGGGGGCTCCAGCGAGAAATGGATGTGTTGGTGTCGATCTCTTCCGATCCATAGCTCCCCTTTTATCCCCTCAACTTTGGATGTGTGTTCACCTATCACCTGATGATGGTGGTGACGATGATGGGAATCGTTTATTAGTGATCGTCACAATGACGATGATGATGATCCGTCTCTCCCCTTCCACCCAGCAGGGCCATTACACACAAAAAGAACTATTTTAATTTCTGCTTCGTGCTGGTGTCGTTGTGATTTGTAGAAACCTACATTACTTTATAGGCAATGCAGAATGCTAGCAGGAGCAGCAGACACTCAAAGTAGGCCTTGTAAAGTTGATTCAGTTGTTATCTTTTTTTTTTCGCAAATTGTCAAGGACAAATTCTTCTTCTGTGTGGGTTCATAATGAAATGCTGCTTCCATAAGGATGTGAGTGTGTGCCGTAAACAGTGAGTTTATCGATTGTGGCCCCACTAACTTTGCGCGGAAAGAATTGAGAAGCCATTGTGCATATTTTCCATTTGATGCTGTGAGGTTAGGTAACTTTGGCTTGTGCCACAAAGAGGGTATTTAGTCAATAACAGTGGGGATCAACGTAGACAGCGGTGCGCGGTTGTTAGAGCAACGACTACGTTGTGTAATTTTGTTTGCAGTGTGTCAGTCAGTCCCGTCCCGTGTGCTGCTGCTCTTCTGGTGGGGTTGATGTAATTTATTGGATTACATTGCAGCACAGCGGAGGATACATTGTAGCTGATTATGCAGAATGAGGGAACATTTCTAGGCGGATTACGTACGGGGTTTAGCAAAAGTTGGTTCAGAATTATGGTAGCCAACAATGTTCTTCCTGGCAACACTGAAGCAGAAAAAATTTGTTGCAATCTGTTATCTATAAAATGACCGCTTTTCCTGGAAAATCAGCTGCAAGGACAAGGTTGATCGAATCCACAAATGGCCGTTGTCATGACTGATTTGCCTTGTAAAATCAACCATGATAGCAGCCATTTGTTACGTAGGACTACGTCTGTGATTTCTCTATGGGGGTACACTTTGTAAAAACCGAAAATGGAACATGTAACAAAATTATGAAAGATTTTGAACGTTAATAACTCAGCTGCCCCTGGACCAATTTCAATAATTTTATCACCAATCGATCAGAAATATTCCTACGCATCTGTTGAAGTTAAGACTTTATCATTTTTCAAAAACTCACTATTGAAAATTGCACTTCTGTGCAACTGTTGCTATGATAATTGAAATAATCACTGATTGCCTGCGAAAAGCGATTTCCCTAACACAGATTTTAAAGTTGAATCCCATCCGGTCTCACCAAACGGTGTTTATTCAATCACCGCGTGGTGAGTGGTGGTGTTCTCCAGTACACAACGAAAAGCTGCCTGCAAGCAGTGAGCTGCGGAGCCCACATGAGCATCCATAGAAGGAGGAAGAAGCCGCACCGCTATTGATCGGAATCAATAGATCTTCGTGAGTAGCTGTGGGCCATCTATGTCAAGTGCGTCATACTAAAGAGTGTAAACAGAGCGAACCCCGCTCAAATTTCTATTCCTACACAAAACACAAGCTCCTGCTGCAGTTAACAAATAAGATTTACTATATAAGACCACGTAGTCCTGCGTCACCATTACGTACAACCCTAATGGGCTGTCCCTTGTAGTTTTTTTTTATCTAGTTCGTTTATTTGCAAGGCTCAATTGTGTTAGATTTACGGAGTCGATAATTAATTGTTCATTGTTTGTAACAAAATTCACTTATTTCTATGTCTAGTAGGAGTTGGGCCAAATACTCGCGGCTTAGAAGGGGTACATTATTGAAGGATAGGATAAGTTCTATTAATCTTGTCCTTAAGTAGTATAAGAAGAAATTCATTGAAAATACTTCAAATTTTGATATTGGGAAATGCTGCGCCTTTTGATCAAAATGAATAAGCATTTATATGTTTCGATTTCTTTGATTTCTGCAAGGGGTTCAACTCTATGTAAGATGCTGGAAATATTTCGCTTTGCTGTTGTGATATGCGCGCACGTTTAGTAGATAGAAAGAAGATTGATGAAGATTTTGAAGATTTCCTGCTAAAAGTTGGAGAGCGATGCAACTAGATGGATTTAGATGCAAGAGATGAACTAATATTTTTCGTAGATTGATTCGCTAACGTGAGTTTTTCCGACAATCTAAAATTGAAATTTAGATGTGTCGCACCCCCAGAATTTCTATCAGTTCAGTTCAGGTTAGCCACTGATCCGGGAAATCTGGGAATTTCGAGAGAACCGGGAATTAAGCGGAAATCGAAAACAACTCGGAAAAAC